TGGTGACGAAAGTTAATGTCGACGTTCAAAGAGTTAGAACTGATGTATATGCAGGCAAGTGATAGGATTCCCTGTACTGTCATCATTTTTATTCGTCAATTGATACTGTATCTGTTCTATTTGAAGTGTATGCACTTTATATAGTTAGTCATGTCTCATAGCTACTCTGTTGCAAATGTAACGGCCACACTTGTGGTGAGCGTCTAAATGTCACATGACAACATTTACAAGATGCTGACATGTGCTTTTAAAATAAAATAATCATGCATAGTCATTCATTTTGTTCATATAATGCACTTTCATACTTAACATTCAAAATAAAATAATTTATTTTTGATTTCATAGTCTGGTTTCACTTCCAAAGAAAATACAACAATGAACATTATACAGTTTATGTTGTTGATGGTTTTATATGTTGTCATGGTTACTAGTAACCATGGCATAGTGACACGAACAGGATAGGCGTGTATAATTCTGATGCATGTTGTCTCACTGTAGATAAGTGTTTAAAAACACCTTGCTAAAAGCGTGGTATATGTATTGTATATGGTGCTTGAAGCACAGCTCTGCAAACTTTTGGAATGCGTCAGTGCATCATGGGAGATGCAGGTTGAATGACCTATTATTTACGTTTGCATACATATGTTATCAGAGGCATTGATCCTACAGGATAGCATCATACGTACAACATTGCCTGCCGTGAAAATATGTATTGTTACTAACAGTTCATTTATGATTTAAATAAATCTGTGATTGACATTCATTTAGAAGACTTGCATGGCTGTTCAAAACATGTTCCCTTGACAACTTTTAAATGAGAATCACACTTAGATATTGCCCAACCAATGTGAGAAAAGTATTCTACAAGCATTCATTTTTTTATATGACAGAAAAATAAGCTACTTTTTGCTTGTAAATATTAGATGATATATTAGATGGTATAATACTGTAGATACAGCCTGTGAATTCATGTCAGTACAATGAACATCACACTTGAACATATAGAACAATCTGAATTTTCCTATGTCTTCAAATATGTCACATGATAAATAAAAGCAAAACACCAATAAAAAGTGTCAGCTTTCTTAGAGCTTTATTGAGATCTCGGATACCAAGGTATTATATTTGCTGGTCTAATGCTTTTCAGTGCAGTCAAACACTGGCAGTAGTTTCATCATCCCATATTGATTTTGTGTTTGAATTTCTTTCACTGACATATATAGATTCACAATGATTTGTTTCTTTTTGAATTATTCCTCGTTTTTGCCCGAAATACGTGCAAATTTAAAAAGTACCGATATTTCTCATAATAGTCCTAAGACCCCCAGAAAAGCTCCCCGAATGCAACTTAAGGTCGTTATTTAATAATAACGTGGTGATTTAATAATAACGTGGTGATTTAATCATCTGATTGGTCTGAATCTGTGTCTGGTATTTTAGTTACACCTACAATAACATTAAGTCTAAGTAGCTGCTGTAATAACAATAACACATTATTTAGCAGTAGATATTTGCTAACAATTGGTTCTACGATAATCGTGTCTTTATTATCCCACAACTCTCCAGACATAGTATCAATTCCAACCACTCTACGAGATCGTAGCTTTGATTCGATTTCTGGTAACAAGCGTAAAAATGAATTGTGCCGAGATTTGATTGAATTACTGTTTTCATGTAAAGTCATAGGTATATAAAGCAGTGCTTTACTCAGTATCATACAAGCCTGTTTGATCAGTGTATTGGATACAGTCGCAGAGTATTCTGTGAAAATTTTATGTAGTAACAATTCAGTATATCCACCTCCTGCGATACATGCAGCCGTATTGTAACAATTCCGCGACACTGTATCAGATATATTTGTTGGTTGATGCAACTGATCAGAGGACAATGGTACGGTTTTGCCGTCCAGCCACATTCTGATTGTTTTCACACTGCTTAACACTGCCATATAATACTGATTACATAAACCTTGTATTGGAGCGCACACTATAGCCTGGTGGACGTCACCATTATTTCCTTCCAAACAAATATGTATGTACCTCTTAGAGCCTAGGCTGAATAATCTACAGTATTTGGCATCACCGATATTGTCACCGGATAATAATTCCTCAATACTATGAATCATATGAATACGAGACAATCTGGCAAGGTGAGAAGCTGCTTCCATGGCAACGAAGTGTATTACAGAAATTCCAAATGTCTTACAGAAGAAAGATGCCATCTCAGATACACGGTTTGTAGAAATTATAAGTTGAACATTATTCCTTTTACAATGATGAAGAAATGTTTGAACCGATGAACTCTGATGTCTATAGGCATTCTGGAAATCTTCGTCATGTTTAAAGGAAAAAGTCGCTTGAGATTCAGGTTTTTCATCACCAAGGATACAATCCATGATGATAAACTTATGACTTTCATCAAGTGATTTAGCTACATCAGACTGCACCAGAAACTCTCGTTCCAGGAGCATTCCTGGAACAATCCGGGATTCACATTTTGGCAGACCGACAGCTTTAACACAAAAATTATCAAAATTGTCAATCAGTTCAAGAACATTTTTGTGTAAATTCATTGTATTCTTGCAGTTTTTGAAAATAAGATCTGTAGTTAACGATGCAAGTATCTCCAAAGCACCTTGATTGAGCTTTCCATTCATTGACGTCCGTACGATATTAATACAAGCCTTTTTCATGTCTGATCTATTTTTAATCTCAATCAACGTAGAATTTTCCATGAGTTGTGGAATTATGCTATTCGGTAAAATCCTTGTCTGGATCTCGTAAAATGCCTGTGATAATTTCAGCAGATTCTGACTACAGTAACACCGCATACACCGTAGTGCTTCAGTGACAATCAGTATAAAAGTCTTTGCACCACTACCAGTCAGTTTGCAGTGCGCCAAAACGCTATTGATAACTATCCTGCCTACGGGATGCGACAGATGTAATGATTTCAGAATCGTAGCGCCATCGCTTGATATCAAGATGTTGCCGCTCGCAGAAGTGATCATACACTGCAAAGCATTTGGTCCAAATGAGCCTTTAAGAATTTGTTCCAAGCTACTGCTTATTGCGACACAAGTGGAGAGATCCACTGGTTCCATGCTACACAGAAGAAACAAATTTTGATTAGGAATACATTAATGCATGTTTGGACAAGTTTATTAAGTGTGTCAATGCATCAAAAGAACTTTTCTCACTTGTTGCAGAACTCCTGTGCCTATTTTAACTTTCACAGCAATTCTTAACAAGAATTGTGAATATGTGATATCATTTCCGTTTCTAAGCTCAATGATCAGACACAATTTGCATTGACCTACCTTGCTGATTACTCAACAAAACCCTTGTTTAATGATGTTTGAAGTGAAGTTACATGTAGTTTTATTTAAGACCCATCATAATCTTGTTTAATTTCACTTTTTCATGTTTGCCAAAAAGGTTTAGGCCAGGGTGAGCAATAAATGTTTGGTAGGGTAATCAGAACCACGCATATTTTTTTTTTAATTGTCCTTAGATATAACATCCAGACCGTTTCTGATCACCAGCAAAAAGAACAAACTAAAGATTTAAATTACAAGTCATTGAAAATGACATAGTCCCCGTTAAGTTCTCTTTGTGCTCGTCATATTAAAGCGGAGGGGTTGTCGCGAGTGTGTCCTTGAAACTTGAGTTCCAAGTGGCGTATACAACAGATTGTTTATTTACATCAAAACACGTGTTTCGTGTCATAGTAATATGGCCAAAATAAAAACAGCCGTTATTCGGCCATCTTTGATCTGATTATGAAACACACTGATATGTATGATGTGCCAAATACGAATGAAAATGGTACATAAATTGTGGAAATATAGTAGTAAGGCCAAAAAGTCAGATGGCTGTCAATCGGCTATCCTTGACCAGATTTTGAAACAAATTGTCATGGACATGCATCCTAACATGTATAAAGTACAAGTATGTGGCAAATTTGAATGAAAACTGACAGAGCACGTCCAAGATACCGCATAAAAAAACAAAAACAAGATGCCTGCCAGTCGACCATCTTTGATCCAATTGTGAAATAAATCGTCATGGACATGTATCCTAACATGTATAATCTATGTACCAAGTTTGAATGAAAACTGACAAAGCATGTCCAAAATACAACATTTTCAAAAAACAAGATGGCTGCCAGTCGGCCATTTTGAATCAAATGGCTAAACCACTGCATGTGCATATGTCCCACATAAAGTACTAGGCACATGCAAAGAATGAACGGAATCGGTCCAAGGGATTTTGAGATATGACTCCGGACGAACGCACGGACGCACGGACACACAGACACACGGACGGACGGAGACCGAATTATAAGTCCCCGTTTTCGGACTTCGTCCGAACGGGACTAAAAATAATATTATGATTTTGAATTCACTCACTACTTTGTTCTAAAGGGGAGTAGTCGTCGCGCCACACATCCGCAAGATATATGGGTCTCATATAAACAAAGATGTGACTTTAACTGTTGTGCAGATCAATGAGTACAAACTGAGACATTACCAAGCTTTAATTAGGTATTTTTTAGGTGATTGGACGGTATCGAAGGAGTCACTGGCGGTATTCAGTGCAAGTTGCGCCCAGGTCAAACCTTATAATTGTAATTTCCATTCCATTGCATTGGATTGCGGGAAAATCAATGTTTATCAACACGAATGTCACACGTGCGCAGCGTGATGACCACCGCCCTTTAACAACACCCCCTCCCCGTAACCGCTGAGTAAAATGTATCTGTTAATAATAGCGCCACCAAGTGGCTGACAGAACGGTCAAGGCCCTGTAGGTCAAGGTGTTCGTTCAGATAGTAAAGCGACAAATACTATAGTAATCTTAAACTTCCATCGTATTAAACAAATAAATATAATTGCAATGTACATTACCTTAACTCCCTAATGCTGTTAATTTAGGGAGCTAGCTACAAAACTCGTTAAAATTGACCAGTTTTGCAAGCTCTACAAGCAAGCATGTTACTTATCAATATATCCCAGGATGCACTGCGAATAAAGGTATCGCGGGAAATTTGCAAAATGGCGACGACAACAAAGTTTTATCCAGGAAATCGCTCCAACTGGTAGAAAGAACTAATGTGTTCATGTCTGTCTGATCAGTTTCCCAGTGCACTTAGACACTATAATAAACATGAATGTCCAAGAAAAGAAGGAATTCAAACGTAAGTACTTTGTTATTACTTGATTCATATCGAAATCAATCAACAATAATTTTCAAGTCAGACATGTGAGAGTGACTTTATATTTACGAGCCTTGATTTAAATGTACCTCCGTTTTATGGTCGGTCTTGGGGTGATCGCAAAAACCAGGACGAAAAAATCTTAACCGGCAATCCAAAAAAACGGATGAATTAGCCATCGGAGCTGCAGATGTACAGTTACGTAAGTGTGATCACATGGAGCCCAGGAACTATAATCAACTGTAATACGCAGTCTCTATGAGCGGGGGGGGGGGGGGGTATCGGCTGGTATCTAGTGTAAGAAATTGACAAGGGATGAAGGCTCCAGCCTGCTCACATTTTTTAAACTCGAAAAAACAGACGAAAAAAATAACAAATAAAATCTAAAAAAATACCAGATTGAAGAATATTCGTTGCTCCTTCGAATTTCGCCAAAGCCTTACCTACATTTTACCGATATCTGCAGAATAAATCAAGAAAACTACACAAATTGACTCCATTTAGGAATTCCTAACGGTTAGTCCGAACGCACAACACCGTTGGAGGCGTGGCCTGTTCATCATTTGTCAACAACCAATCACAAGACTGGTTACGAACCAGTTGAGCAAGGCTAACCTGTAGGGGGGAGGGGCTATTTAATCGTTTTTGTGGAGAAAACACACCTTTAATTTAAAGGGGCACCTTCCAGTTAAGCCTAATCCCACAACAAATTTACTTCCTGGATTAAAATAACAATGGACAACAAAAGATAGATTAACATTGTAAACAACAAACAATAGTGTCCCATGATTCTTTGGTGCAATCCATAGGATTGAGCGGTTCCCCTTTAATTACCGTACTGTCTAAATAAAATCATATGTTTTTTAATTTGTCTGAGATTTACAAGTAAATAAATCTATTTTCAAAAATAAAAAGAAGTTTCCAAATGTAAAATCATTTCAAAAATATAAAAAAGTGTTGATCTATATTTAAAGCGGAAGGGTAGTCACCTGCACACATGCAGGAATTGAGTCCCAAGCGACGATAACAACACATGCTAAAACGCAAAGGCTCATGGGTAGTCACTTGTTTGTAAACAATGACACGCTATGGCCATCTGACATATGCGCAGGTGACGACTCCCCATCTTTAAAGTGGTGTGAGATTACAAGTGTATGAATTGCATTTTGATTTTGTAATTTTCATTTTTACTCATGCATTTAAATTTTGATATCAATTTTAAATTGTGAAATTAATAAAATATTTTTTAAATGCAACAAAAATGTAAAAAAAATTTTAAAAAAACATGACACTCTTTAAAAATCATTTCTATGAACTGATGCATCATGAACTATTTCTGGTTGTGTTATTTGAAATCACCTTGCACCATTGACACATCAAAATGGCTTAGAAAGAACATTACATATCACCGGAAATACGTGCGGCATTATATATTGGTATATTTCATGTACCTGTACTTGTGTCATGTTTTGTCCTAGGTCTTCAGAAAGCTAGGCTCAAAGCTCAAGTGAATGGAAAATTGAAAGAAGAAGCAGAACTGTGCAATGCTCTCGGTGAACTCTTATCCAGACATGGTGGGTACCACTTTTATTTTATGTATGAGTTAGGTTCAGTCTTCAGACCAAGGGTGAAAAGTAAAATTTATAAAATCCTTGCAAGACACTTTTATATCCTCTGCAAACGATCTGTCCATGCTGTTGTGAATCCGGCTGATCTCCAAACTAGATTTTTTCAAATAGTGATTGAGACTGTTCTACACACATGCTATGATTGTAAGGAGTTTATAATAAAACAAACAGTGCATTCACTTGTCAAGATCTACATAATAACTTATAGTTTTATTCAACTCTAGGGGAATATGAAGAAGCTATTCAGGAACACCGTGCAGAGCTCCATCTGTCGGAATCTCAAGGAGATATTATTGGTTCTGCCATTGCTAATCGGAAAATTGGAGAATGTTACAGTGAACTCAACAAATATGATATAGCGTTGAAATATCAAAATAAACATTTAGAACTGGCACAATCGGTGAATAATCATGTTGAAGAACAAAGAGCATTGGCTACGATTGGACGTACCTATTTATGCAAATCTGATGCAGTGATAGACAGCTCCAAGTCACAGCAAGCGTTACAGAAAGCACAAGAATCATTTATCAAGTAAGAAATCACCTTGTTAGGCTAAACAAAAAGAAATACGTTTCTGATTTTGGAAAAACCATTGGTGCAGTGCTGCGTCATGCCTTTTTGTGTCATGTCGTAATGAGTTGAGAACAATGTACACATAATAACTGACCACGAGGGCAACTGCGTATCAGATTCCTGGAGGGTATGTGGCTCTGGATAACTCTGGCCATGGATGAGGACAGACAGATAAACTCAAATGAAGTCAGATCGCGTTTTTTCTTTTTTTTTTTAATAGACCCACGAGCAGATTCTGCCACATTCAGAGAACTTGCACAATTTGATGAGCTCGCTGTGGATAATTTTGCGAGAATATTATGAGAATAATTGGCTTCCTCATGGATAGCTAAAGACCATGCAACAATAATAGTGATGTCATAACTCCTTGTAGAAATCTCGCTGTCATATAAAGTGACACCTATAAATTATCTTGGCTAAGACTAGTATGATTGGACAACATGAGTAGTACCCTCAACCAATCACGTAAGGGACGACGTCAAAAGATCGATGTCAGATAAAAAACTTAATTCCTTTAGTTTTTTTTCAAATCCCCTCCACCCCCCACTGAAACTTAATTGATAAATATTGGTCATGGCTACATTCACTATTAAATACAAATTGATAATCGGACAGTAGTATGGCATAGCAGTTGGTTGTCGGGTGGTGTAAAAAGACTTTACAAATGCACCTCATTTGACGCACATATTTACTCTCGGACCAAACCATTTTCTCGTCTTGGATGTTTTTGTTTTTTTCATTTTCTGTTATTTCTGTCCATGATTGGATAGAAAAAAAAATGAACTACAAATACTCCAAGATTTTTTTGACTTCATTAAAAGATAAAATCGTTTTTGTAGGATGGAAACTTTTTGAGGTCAACCACCCACCCCCAAACTAAAGCAAATAAGTTTTTTATCCGACATCGACTTTTGACGTCCTCCATAACTTGCATTCAATGTGTAAGACTGTAGTTGGTTTTGCATAACCACAGTTCATACTGCTTAGCGCCCTTGACTTTGGTCGTAATATCCTTGCTAGAAACAAATAGTGATGGCCCTCATGAGACGTTGATGTCATCTGCTGAACACAAACTTTCTATTTGAAAAGAGTATTTTGCATGTACATTATGGTGATTAATACAATTTTTTTTTTTTCACAGGAGCTTGGACGTCTGCGATAAACTGAAAAATACCGTATCAGAGAAGGAATTACAAGAAATGAGAGCCAGGTTGTTTTTAAATTTAGGATTAGTATTTGACAATCAGCAGGATCAGAAGAATTGTATCAAATTTATTAGACAGTCTATATATATAGCAGAGTAAGTACACAGTTGGATTTCCTGACTACTGTAATATCAATTTTCACTGAAAAGACATTTGGGTGTGTTGTACGTTTATTTTCACTGATTCTTGATGTGTTGAACGTAAAATATAGGAAAAAAAATATATTCACTGTATATTATTTTACACTAAATCACTCCTTCAGCGAAAATAGCGAAAAATTAATTGCAAGTGAAAATACAGTATTTTACACTAACTTGATATGGATGTATACATGTACACTGGATCATGAAAAATGGACATATTTTTCACTGTGAGATTTACCTACCATAAACTGAACCATTCCAATGACAGTTCATCCACTTCCATTTCCAGAGAATATATTTTTTACGTTCATTACACTGACCCTTATATAGTTCTGGGATTTGTTTTTATCCCAAAATTTGGAATTCTTCTGAAAGGAAAAATTATCCTTGTAAAAAAAAAATTCTTTTTTTAATTTCACTAATTTGACTATTTTCAACCCTCAAAGATATATTGTTGTATTTGATCAATTTAGCTGCTCAAAATGATAATTAAAATTTTGCATCAAGGAAGTTTTTACAGTGTATTTATGATGTATGAACAGGTGAAAAAAATGAGTTAATAATTAATTAATCTGTGATTCAGACATTCTCCAAAATTCATGAATCATGCTACTTTAATACATTTTCATTATTTTCTTTGTTTTATAGCTAAGACCACATAACTACTGACATGCTACTGGCCATGGATTGTCAGTGGCATGTTTGTATTTATTTGATCGAAACTTGAAAACAAAGGCAGATAAAAAAAAACGAGATTCAACATGTTAACGCTACAGTTTTACAAATGTCCTGTGTGATCCACATGTCATTCGTGGTACCAAAAGTGTTAATTATTAGTGTTTTTAAAATACCGGTACTATTCTCCTGTATCTATCAGATAGTGTATGGGTTAATATTATAGACAACGTCTGACACACTATTTTTCCCTGTTGTTACCTTAAATATATGCGCTACTAATAGAGCAAAACAGTATGCCCATGCTATAGACAACGCCATGTGTTTGAGATCACACTCTTAATATCTTGTTTGCAGGAAACACAAACTACATGAAGATTTATTCAGATCCCATTTCTCATTGGGTAGTATTTATCAGAAATATGACAGCAATGACAAATCGCTACGATGTCTGGAGGCAGCAATTAAATGTGCCAAAAATATGAAAGATAAATACTTGGAAAGTGATGCTTTGGGTTGCTGTGCGTTGGTAAGTGGGCCTCATTTCATCACAATTTTATCTTTTATCTTAACAGCATTAGTGAATTATTTACTTTTTTCCATGAATTTTCAGGAAATAGAAAATGTCAACAAATTATCTGAAGGTGTTAGTTAAGTTGTCTCCCAGAGTATTTACAATTTTGGATAAATATTTAAACTAGATAATCATAAACATGAACACAATTGGTATTTTTTTATGCAATATAATGGACAGTTTTTTACAGTAAAAACTAACAAGATTTTGTCATTGAGATTCCTCTGGATGTTGTAAGATCAAATCGACTTTGATTCAAAATATTGTTGTTGAATACCTGCTAACTTTTGTCTTGGTTGTTTTCATTGTAATAACATGGAGCCTTTTGAAGTAGCATAGACTGTGATATGTTAACACATCTAATTTCATCACATCCATTTCATATTTTTCACATTTACAGGCCTATTTTAAGTTGGGAGACTTTTCAGCTGCTAAACATGCATTGAAGAAGGCATTTAAATTAGGATCTAGGTTGCCCTTAGAAAGAGAGTATATTATCAGGAATCTGAAAACAG